GTGTCTACACTGGCCTGTTATACTGGATAATTTTGATTATAAATCTGCCAGTAAGTATCCATCTTTATATCATTATCATTAAATTATCAGCATCCTCACTACGAGCATAGGCCTGCCAAATAGATTCTGTGGATAACCCGCATGTTTTCATAGAATAATCCAGTCACTCCTCTTTAGTGTGTAGTAGAATCGATACACCTTGCAAAAAATACCAACACATGTTTTCTTCGAAATAAGAGTCCTTTTGTTGAAGTCGTTTAATAACGGGACCAACGGCTTAACGTGCCTTCCGAAGCACGAAGTAGCTCTACATAATAATTTTTTGGTCACCCATCCCGTGGCCGACCCTTGCGAAAGTTGCTTAACAACAATCGCGGGCCGAGGCGCATATCCTCTACGCCACTGAGCTACTTATTTTTTTTTTTTTATATGAAATGGAGGGCAAATGACTGCGCTCCACCTGATGGTAAGCAGAGGCGTAGTCCAAACGCGAGGACAGCTAGTGAAAACAGTACGTAGGTACTGCACTAGCCGACCCTCACCTTGCCGACCTGCAAGGTGCTTCTTCACGCCCCGCTTGAAGGACCCTATGTCATAGGAAGGAGGGAATACATGGGCCGGGAGACAATTCCATTTTTTGGAAGTACGACAAAGAAATGAGTCGCCAAATTTCTTTGTACGCGAAGGAATCGTTGCCACAGTTAGTTGGTGGCAACGCAAACCAGCACGTGTGGTCCTAAAGAGGAAGGGAGATGGGGGGGATAGGGGAAAAGAGTTCTTCAGAACATTCACCATGGTAGAGACGGTAGAAGACGCTGAGCGAAGCGACGTCTCGGCGCAGTTGCAGGCTTTCTAGGTTCTTGGTGACTTCACCATTGCCAATAATGCGTACTGCGCGGCGCTGCAATCTATCCAAAGCATCGAGTAAGTACCTAGCGGAGCCATCTCAAAGGTGCGAGCAATACTCCACGCATGACCGGACCTGCGTTTTGTATAGCAGGCACAGTTGTTCGGGCGTGAAAAAACGCCGCACCTTGTTCAGGACACCGAGTTAAATCATTTGGTCGACTTTCATTCGTAAATTTGTATAGCCAATTTAAGTGTGATTGTTTTTCTGTTAAATTGGCTATATATTAATACTTCTGGCGCATCGTTTGAGTTTTTTAACAACAACCGTTTCGTTGGTAGGGGGGGACATTTGACTCTAACGAAAATTGCTGAAAATAAACACTTTGAAGCTGAATAAGTTACTGACGGTTAATTAAATCGAAAAACGGTCTCTCCATACCACAATTTTTTTTGAAAGATCAATCCAATAATATTCCACAGTATTTATTCATCCTCAACTTTACATGTAGCAGAGGTACGCAAAATAAAAATTCATTTCAAGATTTTATTTTACCACTATGTCAGCATGATTTAAGTGTATACTCATTCTAAATTACACCTTTCTAATTAATATATCGTTTTTGAGGTAAACCACATACCGACGGACAGAAAGACAGAGATGATGAAACTATAAACTTCTTAGTTGACCGTGGAACCGCAAAATTGAAAATGAACACGACTTTTATTAATAAAAATCGGGTTAACAATAAAGATAACACACAATAATAGTAATAGGTTTTATAAATAAAATACTTATGCCAAGTCCTACGTATAGGAATTTTTCATTATATATTTAATAAAAGTTCTGAAAACAATAACAACTAGGTAAGTTAGTTTTGTTGCTCATAGCTGTTAGTTGAACTTACAACAACAAAACTACATCAAGTCTCGATAATGTTTTTATATTATGTGTGGTGAATGAATGAATAGAGTTTATTAATCAGTAACAAAGGTCATAAAAACCATAATTGCAATAAAAATTCGTTTATTATCTATATAATTACCCTATATGAATAAAATATACTAGGTACTCGTACAAAATAACACGAATTCTGGCTAGAATGACATTTGTGCAAAGTACAACATGCAAATAAAGATTTTTTTAAAACTAAGATTAGTTATTAAATCTTATATTCATAATTAAATCATCTAGTAAAAATTCAACAACTAAAAAGTTCTTACAATAATATTGCCAATAATAAATTGACTGCCTACTCAAATTACTCTAGAAATCAGTTTTATTGTAATATATTACTTATTACTTAATAAGTAATATATTTCAATAAAACTGATTAGGTAGTTACCTACAGTAGTCACGCTCTCTTAAATATCTCTGCGGTGGTGTGCGTCAGGTCGTTACTTTCCCTGAAATATAGTTGAGCGAAGCGATGGCTGACTCATGCGTCAAGCTCGTCAACGGGTACTGCCACTGGGGATGAATCTGCACTGGACTAATTAGTTTCGTCAATTTTCTTTTATTATGAATATTATATATTGACTTGTCAATGAGTATGTATGACTCGGCAACCGGGATATTTATCAGTAATCGAAAAATATCTGTCTACTTATTTCTGATATTGTAATGAAAGTGACTTCATAGTCTAATTAAGTCACATTCCAAACAGACTTCTCTGTCTGAAATTTACTTTAATTACATCAGAAAGAAAATTCAAATGAATATCATAGATAATTATCAAAAAATCGCTAGTGACATCTAGTCTGATGTCAAGAACTAATTTTTATTTTTAAATACTTCCTCATTGCCTTGCTTTCCTGATGTCAATGTTGTGCGCAGATAACCCATCTAAACGTTTCAATACATCATTCTTTTCGTGTACTTAACCAACATATGTATTTAATATTAGCGACAATGATTGTACCGATTAATTATTTTAAACATTACTTAATCCTGCGTAAACAACAAATCAGTTAATGGATTTAGAATAAGATGACATGGAATATAATTACAATAACAAATTTAATCGTTAACAATGGTTACTATGGTAACGATTTAATGTCCTATCTATACGAACTTCCACTCCTTATATTAGGAAGGCACTGGCTCCCATCATACAATTCAAACTAGTATGGGAGACAGGGCTCAAAGAATATTGTCATGTTATTGGAAATAAAGTCATTATTATTATTTTCATCGCTTTGTGTGCTTTTTTTTCGGGATGACATACGAGTATAAGATAGAGATATCCTACAGCGGACTTTTTTAGAACTTTTTAAGGGGATCAATTTCGTAATACATGATTTATGTGCAACTTTCATCGTTTACGCAGCTCACGCAAGGATAGCTTAAAAAAGTAAAATATTCTTCCGTTTTTGCATCATTTTTCATTGATGCTCCACTCTTTCCTCTCTTAATGAACTGGTCAACACAAAAAAGTAATTCAATTCGTTCCAGTAATTCTGAGATCAATTAAACAAACTCTTCAGCCTATTAGTATATTAGTATAGTTATAGATTGTATTCTGCTAATTTATCGCCTGAAAATTAAAACAAGCTTGTGTTCCAAAGCGTTGAGTTCGATGTTTCATATGACTTAAAAGCAAAATCATAATCATATTTTAGTTGAATGGAAATATTTACTTTGATTGTGTTTTGTACCATGTTTACTTAGGTAGTATTCTATTTCCTTGATGACTCGGTCACGGCTTCCCAGGTCTCATTCTCAGCAGAGGGTATATCGTAGGAGTTCTGGTGGGTATGCGTCTGGTGACCCACACCTCAGCTGTCGCTCGCCATGCGGCAGGTACTATGGTTAAGGTATTTCCGCGACGTATAAAAAAGGTATATACTATAACTATATATATACATAGTAATGACGTTTGATTTGTCATTTTTTTTTTTTTTTAATTAAATATTATAAACGCAAAAGATGCATTCATAATCATATTAAATTTAGTTACAATTTTAAAATTGATTATCGAGTATATAAATAATATGTCTTTATATTATAAAAAGGAAAGGACTTGATTGTTTGTATCTTTGTTTGTATCGAATAAACTCCTAGAGCGATTTTTAAAATACTTACACCTACGAATAGCTAAATCATACGGGATTGAAATAGGCTATAATTTACGTGTGTAGTTAGCTATTATAGAAATTGTCATATATTGACGAATATATATACCAGTTCATAAACTAGCTTGAAGGTATACTAATGTGAATTTCCTCATAGACGATTAGGAATATTAGTTTCCCTCGACGAATTCTCAGTACCCCTTGAACCGTAGGTCATTGATGCCAATATAATCAATAATCCATCCAATACCCTTTCAATTAGCTGAAAACTAATTACTCGTATGTTAACATCAAAATTTAATTCAGAATGTGTTAAATATCATTAAGGCAACATCATCATCATCATCAGCCCTTTTACGTCCCCACTGCAAGGGCTCAGGCCCTCCTTATGGATGGTTAAGGAGAATGGGCCACCCTCCACGCTGGCCCAATGCGGATTGGAGGGTATTAACGACTGCAAATGCAGTCGGGACCAACGACTTAACGTGCCTTCCGAAGCACGGAGTAGCTCGAGATAATAATTTTTTGGTCACCCATCCCGTGATCGACCCTTGCGAAAGTTGCTCAACGACAACGATCGCGGGCCGCGGCGCGCAACATAAATTTAAATAATATACGAGTATCAATATAAAAATAAACATTAATTTTGTACTATTTTATTAGCCAGAAATGAGATAATAATTGCTGTTATTTGAAGAAATGTGATTATTATGAATTACATTTTTATAAATATAATAAATCAATTGATGAAATGTATAAACAAACACATATACAGACTTACGCGCACCCTGTTACAAACGCGCGCGCGTCTTGCTGTAGTTGGTCCAAGATTGTTTTAATTTTGCCTAATAATGAAAATCCACAATCGGCATTAATATATTATACTATTTTTAAGATAAATAATTTCTTTTGTTTTTGAATTTAATGAAAATTACGAAACAACAGCACATACATTGCACTGAATGTACCTCAGAGATGGCGACACCTGCCACGGAGGTCGATATGGAACTTTGACAAACTGGATTAATGGTGAATTTGCTGCGAAATATTTTCTTCCTTGAGGTAATAGGTTTCTCGCTCTAGCAAAAAGCGGTTCTGAATGACAGAAAAAAATACATGAAAGCGATAACATGGTGCTAGATATAATTCAACCCACAAAATGTATTTACATTGAGATACTTTGTACTTCGGAATAAATATTGAAACTCACAAAACCGAACTAAGTCTGCGTGGGTGGTTATGGCAAATTCTGCCGTGTGTTTCTATTTATAGAGCTGGTGCCTGTTATGTACATCACAGAGTGGGTGTATAGTTAAGCTTGGTTGCGATTTACATTACATATTCTCAAGCTCCCTACTCTAAAAAGAAATAGGAACACTTGTTAAACCACTTCGTTGTTCGTGTCTAAATGATACATTTTGTAGGAACACTTAAAACGTACATCCAAATAGCAGGAAAATTTTGCAAGACCTGATTAGGTATCGTATTAAATGAGCTAAGGCTTTATTTACAATGTTATACGACTCGCACTTTGTCAGACTTTACATGCTACAGCTACGTTTGATGTAAATTAAGATATTAAGTGTTTATGTGTATATAAAATGTGCCTAAGGTTTTGAAAATAAATGTTTAAAGAAATAATCAAATTATCTCAAGATTTCTTGTATAAAACTTAGTTAATTATATCTTTGAAATTAAACTCGATACGAACATTAGAGATTAAAGGACCCACCTCAAATACGTTACACGTGTTTCATTAAAATCTAATTGACAATTTATTAAGTCTTGACTTGTTAATAGGGCGTATTCAAGCAAAAATATTTAGAACCAAATACTCAACCTTATTAATTTTTAAATCATTCTCATTTTTCCTATATAAACGAATCGTCTTATGATTATAAATAATGTTTTGTAATGTACCATGTTTCCTGTAGTTAAATGTACTTTTTAAGGCTATCTAAAAATAAAGATAAGGAAAGCTGGCGAAGTACGTGACCAAAGCTGTTTTTAATTAATAACACGCAAATATCGTAATGGATCGAAATGTTGGACGGTGAACATGAATGAAAGAAAATTGAGATTATACCTCTATTGAAAGATGAGACTGTTGAGATGGATAAGTGGAGTGACGATAATTTATAAACTAAGGAATGAATATGTAAGAGGGAGTTTGAAAGTAGTACCTGAAACAAAATAAACTGAAAGGAAAGCGCCTGGTCTGGACAATCGATATCTATGTCCAGTTCATTAGATGGGATGAAATGAAATAAGATGGTGTTGGAAATATGAATATCGATGAATGTTGAGCAAGAGATAGACTTGAGAAAAGATGCATTGATTGTGTGACAGCCATAAGTAGTAGAAGAAAAGAACATACACCAATTTCGCATAGGCTAGAAATAGGGACTAAGACACACTGCACCGACCCCACACAGACGTTTATAAAGAAACTCACATATTTATAGAAATAATCATCAGAAGCGGCCTATTACTGACGAAGATATTGTAGATCATATGTATGTCTCATCGTAAAACAAATAGTTTTATCTCAATCTGTTTCATTGTATTTACTTAGATGTAATTAATCAGCTTATATATCTATTATAAAATAGTTACACTTCTAGAAATTTAGGAACAATACCGATCTATTGTGAGACCAATAAATAAGTAAGATACCTATGGATAGGTCCACTCGAATCTCAGCGAGGATATCAAGGATATGTTTAAATATTTTTTTGTATAGAACTAATGTTTTTCGGAGCGTCATATAAAATAAAGGTTGGTTTGTGTTCACATTTTCGTCAATTACTTGTAGTTTACGACCGTCCTTGTTTTGGACATTCATTCGCATTCTACATAATATATGTAGACTTTACTGTTAGTTTATAGTCGGTAGTTTCTCTTGATGAAGATAAAAAAGTAGTATTAGTAATCCCAAAATCCATAGGAGAGTAGTATAAAAAGTATTAGCCTTGTTGGCTTATTCTGGCTGTCGTGGTTCTTCTAATTCAAATTTACTTACATAATTTCTTGAATAATTAAACTTTGGAGAATATAAACTATTTCCAGTCTCTGTAGCGATTAAAAACTCTGATAAGTCGACTTAGTTTTATTTTTTATTCATAAAAATCCAATAAATATGCAAAACCTTCTTGGATAATAAGAATTATGAAACTATTCAGTAAGTTTTCAGTTATGTTACTGTTGAATAAATTAAATTGCTATCGATGTAAGCTTTTTCTGTAGCTGACAAAAATTTTTAAATTCTTGTAATGCTTAGAAAAAATGAAGATTATTAGGTATTTGTGGGTTTAGGACCCGTAGTGCGTTAACAGATTATGAGTAATAAAACAATTTTTTTTTTTTTATAATAAACCACTGTCCTGGTAGTGCTCCGGCGAGATGGTCGAAGAGGTCCAGTGGTCTGGATGTTAAGGCCAGAAGACAGGTCCGAAGCCAGCGCTTCAGCACCCAGCTTCATGATCACATAACCCACATGTTATGTGAACATGAAGCTTCTCCGGGGCGGGAAGGAACCCTAAATGAAATAAAAAAAGAAATGTCACGGCCATCATGTTGGCTGCGACATCACTGGGAAACACTCCGCCTGAAGGGAGCGAGGTAAGAAGCAGGAACAGATGGAATAACGTCATGGGTAGTGATCAGTGAAGCAGACCAACAGGCAAGATAATTAAGCAAAGAAAAGTGGTGTGCATTTCTAGTTAAATAAAAATGCAAGTGGGTATTTTTAAATGCCACATCCAAAAGATCATTCTAGGTTTTACTAGCTAACAAATAATTTGTAAGGTGTTCAATGGGACTAAAACACGCCCATTAATAAAAAGAAATTTCATAAAGATACAATATATTGCTGAGAAACACAATATAAAATTAGACCAAAAAAAAAAACACCTAAATTGATTATAAATTATTCAACACCCAATACGGCGATATCACTTCGAATACATTAATTAAAAAACATAATTATTTAAACGTTTATTTAACGTTCGTGACTACAGCGGCCGCGAAAGAACATTAAAGGACTACATATTGATGTTACGCTGCCTTCGGTTGAAATGTATCACAAGAAGCGCGTCCACGGGTTTTGTACCTTCCATAAAACTGGATTGCGCCTGCGACGCGGACAACAATAGTTTCGAACAAGACAAGTTGTCAAGCCCGTCGCCGTTTGTCTATATAGAAAATTATTAGTTTATCAATCTTCGGACAACAAATTATATAGTAATTGTTTTAAAAATTATTGTATACGTTTAATAAAATATAAACTTTTATAGCCTTTGAGATTTTTGTAAAAATCTTTTCTTCCCTTTTTTCTGAATTCTTTTGTATTTCATACTGATTTGTTATGACAATTTATTTGAAAACAACAATTGATTTACATAGTATGGCTATAAAGTCTGATAGAATTAAAAATAAACAAAATATTACTTGAAATATTCCTTATATATGAGTTACAGTACAAATTTTAGACTTAAGATGTGATAAATGATACTAGAAATGTCATTTAAACTTAATAATGTATATTTATATTTAAATAATAAGGATATTTAAGTACTTAATAATGAATATTTTTTTATCAAATTTATATACCTATGTAAAGTTTTCTTTATATACATTTAAATTTTCCCAAAAGTAAGCACTGTTATGTTTTATAAGCATTATAAATCATCTAGAATTAAACCCCCCTCGTCCTTGGTACTCTGAGATGGGATTCTAACCCACGACATTTCGCATTCCGTACGACTGCTCTAACCACTGAGCTACCAAGGTCCTAGCAAGACTGACGCATACTTCAAGCACTTGATACTTTTTCACTACTACAAAGCCTATTTTCACCAATGTCCAGGGAATCCACCCAAACAGCTGAAAGAAATAATTTTTTACTTTTGATAAAGATGAATTTATGAGTTCATTATTAATTTTGAATTCACAATGCTATACTGGAAAATATTATTAATGAAAAATTCTTAAAACATCCACGTTGTCCCTGGTACTTTAAGATGGAATCGCGAAAAGTCGTGGGTTCGAATCCCATCTCAGAGTGCTAGGGGCAAAGTGGATTTTTAAGTATAATAAAATTAAGAATATTTTTCAGTATGGCATTGTTATGCAACATTGATCAAATATAATAAAACTAGCTGTAACCATCGGCTTTACTTACGTGGTCCAGGGGAACCGTATGCACACTGGCCTGCTATACTGGAGTATTAAACTAAACTTAATCAACCATCTGCCAGTAAGCATCCAAATGTATATCATATAAATAAATGATTATCTTTATCGTATCATAATCGTAAGGAATTATCACTATAAAGGTTTATGTATAATTGTATGTAAATCATCAGCTATAAGGAAACTTCCTACAAATCGGTTTGCACGGTTGTTACGGAACTGGCTAGTTGATAAGTCTCCTTACAATTTATATTAATATTTTTCAAAATAACTTTGCCAATCACATGAATTTAATCAGATTGACATTTAAATATTATTTTTAATTAATTGCAATATTATTAATTCCTTTACATGTATACTGGCATCTCAATGATTTTTATTGAATATGATTTTTATTGATTATGAATTTTATATATTTGAGATAAGACATTGACATAAATACAGTAGAAGCTCCTTATTCACGGCTTCATTTTTCGCGTTTTCATTATTCGAGGGTGTAAAATTTGTAACTGTATTTCTGTACTCGCGGCTAAAATCTGCGTATTCGCGGATGCAATAGGTAACATAAAGGAATTCAGCGTCGTTTATTAACGCATCGCCATCTTTTAAATACTTCGGGCATATGTCAGGGTGGCTTTTACAACGCTTTATAATTTTTGATTCATTGTAGCATTCATAAAATACTTTAAAAAAGCTACAGTTACTTAGTTATGAATCTGAAATTAAAGATCCTAAAAAACTAGAAAAAAGATAATGAATAAAATTTTTAAAAACCCTTATTTAAAGCAGACAATAAAGAGTGATTTTAATAAGCACTTCTTCAATAATTTTACCTCAATTGAATTTATTTTGACATACATATTGCTTTTATTTAGGAACTTTTGAACGTATTTTTCTATACTAAATGCCATCCCGTTTTCGCGTTTTCTGTATTCGCGGCATATTTAAGGAACGTATCCTCCGCGAATAAGGAGCTACTACTGTATATTAATTTAATTAAGTAAACTATTAATTTTACACTTCATAATTTGGTAGAAACATCACGGGGCGTTTTCACTGCTGGGGCATAGGCCTGCCCAATAGAAGGATCCAAATGAGAAAAATCTACCGGTGTTCCTGTGAATAAAACGCATGTCTTCATAGAATAATCCAGTTGCTCTGCTTTCTATTTTAGTATACAGTAGCATCGACACGCCTCGCTAAAAATACAAAAAAATGTTTTCTTGCAGTAGTAGTCCTTCTATTGAAGTCTTTTCATAATGACGCCGTCCTTTTGGTTGGATCTAGATATTTGACTAGTGTACTTATTCTGGACTTACATGTAAAGGCTTTCATTTTAAGGGTTTAAAACAGTCTAACGCTTTGCTTGTGTAAGATTCTACACCTGATCCTCATAGCGACTTGATGGTCTTGTTATTGCTTTCTCAATTCAGCATTTTCAGAGATTTTAGTGCGTGACGTGCATGAAATTTTGCCAACGGATGTTCTGCCATCTCTTCAGTTTATAGGTATATTCTATACCTTTAGAGTTTCGTCCACTCAGTATTTATAATTAAACCTTAAATTTGAGTTGCTATTTTAGATAAATCTGTTTATTAGTAGTTCATTTCAAGTAGTTTACGATTTTTGGTTATTCATACTTATTAGCAGATTAGTACATTTTTCGCAAAGATAATTTAAAGCTCCCCGGTTTCATATTATAAGTATCTCGTTAATAGTCACCCATATGAAAAAGAAAGCTATTTTGTTTTATAAAAATCGGAAAAAATCAAAGATACAAACATAACAAAAATAAAAATGCCATTTTAAAAGAACAATAGCATCTAGTGATTACTAGCATCAGCTTAACGTAAATAACATTTTCGTATACTGAACAAATATATTCATTTTATATTAGCGAGAACGATTGTACCGATTTGAATTATTAACCATATTATTTAATCCCGCGTAAAGGGCTTAAAATGTTTGGAAAAGGATGACATGGAATATAATTACAATGACAATTTGAATTGTAAAAAATGGTTTCTATGGTAACGATTGAATGCCCTATACAAACTTCGACTCCCATTTTATCCATGTATGTGCTTTTTTCGGGCTAAGATATAAGATAGACATACATTGCCATGGACTTTGTTTAGAAATTTTAAAGGGGATCAATTTCGTAATACATAATTTTTGCCTAACTTTTACCGTTTATGAAACATTGCACGCAAGGAAAACTATAAAGAATTAAATTATTATCCTGTTTTTCCAACATTTTTCATTGCTGCTCCACTTTATAAGTCATAGGGTGATGTTAAATAGCCTATAGCATAGTTCTATAAATAGACTATTCAACACAAAAATAAAACAATTCGTTCCTGAAGTTCCTAAGATAATGGAGTTCAACCAAACAAACAAACTTTAGCATTATTATAAGCAGGTAAATATATTAGTTTTGAATTTAAAATCAGTAATTTTTATATGATTATACATTGTCTTTTCTTATTTTTGCCAATAAATAAATTACAATAAATAAATTGCGCCAATATATTACAAAATGTTTTGTAATATTAAATTGAAGTGGGATGATAAAAGAGAACCGCATTGCATTACATAAAGTAGGTATGGAGCCAAACCCAATTTTCAAAACTGTCGCGTATTTTAAAAAATGACTGAGGACTTGCGGTCTATAAGAGACGCACTGGTCGCTTCTTAACAGATAATTTAAAAAGAATAGTATGGTAAAATCAAAACAACTACTGCAACTACTGCAGCGGTACGTAAAGGGAGGTTACAGAAAAAAATATTACAGATTAGATTTTTTTTTTCTATTGAGCAATATTTTGAGTTGAGATCTTAATCCGCTGGATTATGATTTACGGTCAGTTTTAGAGAGTAAGGCTCCCTCTAAACGCCATGATAATTTGGAGTCCCTAAAAGAATGCATACAATTGGTAGTTCACAATTTTCCCATAATATAGAAAGAGTGCGAGCATCTATTAATAACAGGCCTCAACGTTCAAAGAACTTTATTGCAGCCTACCACGTAGACCACGTCGAATAAGTTATATATTTTAATGACTTTATATTTATGTATCAATCTAACACACTGTAATAGTAATAAATGTTACTTTTAATTATTATTTAGTCCATCTGACAGATAATATTAAAATATTCAATACATTTTTTTTTTTACTTCAATTTAACAAGAAATAACTTGGATAAGAGGAATTAAAGTTGAGAAGACACAGTTTTGTAGAAAATGTACAAAGGCGTGACGTCAATTGACATTTTAATTTAATGTATCGCCGTAATCTAATGATAGGTAACGCAAAAAAAAAAATTATTCATCACTCCTGTTAAAAATGCAATTTAATTTAATTTCATCTTAAAATTTCTTTCCCAAGAAATATTTATTAGTTCTAGGTCTTGAGAAATGTTTTAATACATAATCATGACCCACTCTGCCGTTTAATTTGATAATTATTTCCTTCAACAGAGAACGAGTTAGTTCATAGTTTTACTGTAGAGGTCGTTGATTTCAGGTTTTCAGTTAGTATAATTGGTCTGCTACAGATGGCGCGAGTAGTCTGAGATTTTATTTTCCTTACAGGGATTGTTAAAATATGATTAAAAAATTGATATTATACAGTTTAGTTACAATTTCGATTGGAGGTATCAATAATATCGTTCAAGCTTTGCGTTTTCTTCATTTATATAATT